AAGAGACAAGCCAAGAAGCACCGAGCTTACACTGAATAGGACTAAACTATGTACATAATCGTTTTTTGCCTTTTATTTCATAATACATTTTATTTATATAACCCTTTTGCTGATTTTTAAAGTGTTACATAAACAGGACAGGTGAAATATTATCATGTAAAGCAACCATAAACACATGAAAAGACCTAGGTTTACAATTTGATTAAAACTTGACTATCTACACAATATACATAGACGTAAAAACTTAAATATCTTGGAAACAGTAGCCAATCAGTTGTTTTAATTGTCATATTTGAATTCAGCACATCAAAATACATAATAAATAGTACATTTTATCTCTGAAGCAGACGACTTCTAAAAAATTGTAGACCAGTGTTGTTATATATTTTAGATTATGATTTCACCAGTTTAACTGGAATTCAATGAACAATTTTAGTGATTCACAAGCAGAAATAGAATCTGCCTCATTCCTCACAGTAGTTGTCAATACAACTCAAACAAGAGTAAAGAACAATAAAAACTTATTAGTCTCCTAAAGCAGATAGTACTTGTCATGCTCAAAGGGAACAAATTTGATCAATAAAGGCTTCACATTTTTATGTAGCTGCTTATGAGTAGAACAACAGTATAAGAAGAAAAAGATTTTTAGTAAATATTCAGTCAAATCCTTGGCTTATGACAGTTGTGGTAAGAAACAAAATAAATCCATATATTCTTCTGCATGGATTGTGATCGGTTCCAAATATGTCCAAGAAACTTGAAAGCTTTCTAAAAGCATGGAACCTGAAATTTATTCTGTCATGCTAATGAGTTTTTCACCCAAACCATTGCAGAGTGTTTTCCATTTCCTCTCTGATTAGTACCCTTCTTCGCTGCTGTTATGATGGTCAATTATAAGTGATATAAGAGATGTCTTGCCACAAATTGTCGGCTTCTATAACATGAATTTGCAGTGATGTCTGCAGAATTTGGAAGGCAATGTTGCCTGGAGTTGGTCACATCTTGACCCAACTTTTTCTCGTTGTTTTAGTACTAATTGCTTCTTCTCTTTCTGAATATTACTAACAATTACTAACCTCTTTGGTAATTTGCAGAGGCAACTGAAGGAAAAAGGAATTATTTAATTAACAATTGGAGTTCTTTGAATTGTTTGCTCCTATCTCTCCTCCCCATTTCTTTGGAGTTGTAGGAGAGGCTTAAAGAAGGTGAAGAGGAAATAAGGGTCATTTGGAAAGTTTTGGAATCCAATAGAGTAATGTTCATGCAGCCCAAACTATAAGGCTACGTCTAGACTGGCATGATTTTCCGGAAATGCTTTTAACGGAAAAGTTTTCCGTTAAAAGCATTTTCGGAAAAGAGCGTCTAGATTGGCACGGACGCTTTTCCGCAAAAGCACTTTTTGTGGAAAAGCGTCCATGGACAATCTAGACTCGTTTTTGCGTTAAAAAAAAAAAAAAAACCCCAATCGCGAAAATGGCGATCGGGGCTTTTTTGCGCAAAACAAATCTCAGCTGTCTACACTGGCCCTTTTGCACAAAAGTTTTGCGCAAAAGGGACTTTTGCCCGAACGGGAGCAGCATAGTATTTCTGCAAAAAGCACTGATTTCTTACAGTAGGAAGTCAGTGCTTTTGCAGAAATTCAAGCGGCCAGTGTAGACAGCTGGCAAGTTTTTCCGGAAAAGCGGCTGATTTTCTGGAAAAACTGGCCAGTCTAGACACAGCCTAAATGCCTTGAAATGGTTCTAGAACTCTTAATGCAAAGTAAAAGCTATACAGGCAATACTTTCAGACGACTCCAGTTACTAGTAAATAGCTTTCCTTGCTTGTACCTTTTTGATAGCTGCTATACCCAGCCAGTGCAGGGTAGAAATTTGGGAAGTGATATTAAGAATATTATAAAATATTGCAGATATTACTTTTATAATTACAAACAATACACACATTTTTGTTATACTCTGAATTTTTTTCTGTTCTAGTCTTTAAGAATGAAACTGGCCTTAATAATTAATGAGAAAGATCCATATCTGCCTTTCCTCCAGACCTTCAGTTATAATCTCTTGATCGATAAAATCAAGTCTTACATTGATATTTTTTTGAAAGAAAACGCAACAGATTTTCTATTCAAGGTATGTTGCATAAATACAAAGCTGACAAACTATTGTTCCTCATCCTACACCATTTTTATTAAAGGGCATGGGAAATGTTCAGGAGACAAACTGGACTAGCGCAGTACAGTCAGCCCTTCTTTTAGAGCGAGAAGAGCCTTACCTTGCCACATGTGGCTCAGTTACTAAACGAGGTAAAGCACACATTTGAGAGAAGAATAGTAGATAAAACTTCAAAAATTACTACAAAAATATTCTTAATGTGGGAAGTGAAATGTTGCACAGCAAGCTTTGTTTAGAAAAATGAGAAAATAAGAATTGTATAATTAAAACTGGATCCATTTAAAGTTATGTGGATAAGAGGACCACTTTTTGTCATCTAGAACAGACTGTTAAAGAAAAAATAGGCATGAAATAGTTTCATTTAAGCCTATAAAACTTGTAGTAGTATACAGCTTGGACTATTATTGTTGGTTAATATCAAAGAATCAAATAATTTTCATATCTCTGTAATGTTGTTTATACACCATCAATCTCAACAATGATTTTAAATGGGGAGGAAAAACATTCCTGATGCAATTCATCTATAAGTTGAAATTTTAATAAATTCCATCTTCTATGAAAAGATATGTTCATGAAAACTATACCTAGTCAACAATGAGAAAATCCTTTAATGTGTGCTTTTCTAATTGTGTAATTTGAGAGTGCTTCTAAAATGTTGGTATTAAACAAAACAAAAGTAGAGAACTTTTAAAATTAGTAAATCTGAACTTTTGTAACTTTTTTTTAGTAACAGCGACCAAAGGAGATCTGGCAAAGTAATAAGTACACTTAAAGTGTTTAGAATGGCACTGTAATATGGGGATGACTATCTGTTAGCATCCTCTTGCAGCAAAACAAGGAACTACATGAAACTGTCTCCATTGTTCATTAGGCTGTCACACCCAACTCTGCATTTGTCAAGTACTGACCCCTTGTGACCAGGTCTTCAGTAGTATCTGCTCCCTTTAATATAATGGGGAACAAAAATTCTGTGATTGATTAGGCCTTATAGGAATCTTAATTCCCCTTGGCATAGGAACTTCTCTGAGACCCTGGCTCGGGCAGGTAGGGGAACCCAAACATATGTATTCCACGGCGTTCCAGCTCAGGGTACATGTTAATAAGTCATGGATACTTGCTTTTCTCTGGGTGACTTCCTACCTCTGTAGTCTTCACCGGCTTCTTGCCTTGTTTCTTTCCCTTCAATGGGCTGGTTTGTCTTGTAGCTTCTCACCAGTGTACTGGAAGGTTCCTTTATCTGCAATCCCTCTGTTTCTGGCAGTTGCCCACCCTCCTGCCTTGCCATGCTTTTATCCTCAAAGCTGCTGTAGGGCTGCCGGTCAGCTCTGGCTGAGCAGGCAGTTGCTTAATTGGTTTTAAAAAATCAGATTCCTGTTAAGGCACCAAAGACCATTATTTCATAATTTCCTGCTGTTGCTATGTGTTTCTGCGGTAGAGGTTAGGGATGTAAGTGATAGTCGAGTCCTGTTTGACTACTTGCTTCCTCCCACCTTGCTGCCTCTGGATCAGAGGCAGCAAGTCAGGGCAGAAGCAGGAGCTGGTGCTGAGGGGAGCCAGATTAAAAGCCAGTTCCCCCCCCAGCACCATCTCTGCAGTGCTGCACAATGGCAAGGGAGGCAGAGGCACAGTGGTCCAGGACCTGGCGTGAGCTGTAACTGCTCAGTCCTGGGTCACGCGGGGTCCCAGACCTACCCCCGTTGTGGCTCTGTATTTTAAATGTACCAAGGGCCAGGTGAGAGTCTGAGACCCGGTATGAGCCAGGACTCGGACCTGTTCCTGCTGCAGCTATGCAGTTTAAATGCGGTAGTAGCCTGGGTGCCTGGTTCCTACTACATTTAAACTGCAAAACGTCTGTGGGGGCAGCTCTGGTTTGTGCCTCCCTTATTAACTAATCGTATTTAAAATATATTGGAAGGATAGAGCAGGCCATGTGGGTGGCGGAGAGGCACTGTATGTGAAAGATTATGTGGAAACAAATGAAATAAAAATATTAAATGAATCAACATGTTCAGTAGAATCACTATGGATAGTAATTCCATGCTCCAATAATAAGAATTTAGTATTAGGGATATATTATCGACCACTTGACCAGGACAGCGATACTGACATTGAAATGCTTAGGGAGACTAGAGAGGCTACCAAAATAAAGAACTCTATAATAACGGGAGATTTTAATTATCCCCATATTGACTGGATACATGTAACCTCAGAAAAAGAAACAGACATAAAGTTTGTCAATGGCTTAAATGACTGCTTCATGGAGCAGCTGGTACAGGAACCCACAAGGGGAGAGGCAATTCTCGATTTAGTCCTGAGTGGAGCGCAGGATCAGGTCCAGGCGATAACCATTGCAGGACCGCTTGGGAATAGTGACCATAATATAATAACGTTTAACATTCCTGTGGTGGAAAGAACACCTCAGCAGTCCAGCACTCTGGCATTTAATTTCAAAAAGAGGAATTACACAAAAATGAGGAGGTTAGTTAAACAGAAATTAAAAGGCACAGTGACTAGAGCCAATTCCCTGCGAGCTGCATGGAAACTTTTTAAAGACACCATAATAGAGGCCCAACTTAAATGTATACCCCAAATTAAAAAACATAGTAAGAGGCCTAAAAAAGAGTCACCGTGGCTTAACCACCGTGTAAAAGAAGCAGTGAGGGACAAAAAGGCATCTTTTAAGAAGTGAAAGTCCCAATCCTAGTGAGATTACATAGAAAGGAACATAAACATTGTCAAATCAAGTGTAAAAATGTAATAAGAAAAGCAAAAAAAGATTTTGAGGAACAGCTAGCTAAAAACTCAAAGAAATAGCAAAATGTTTTTTAAATACATTAGAAGCAGGAAGCCTGCTAAAAAAAACCAGTGGGTCCCCTAGATCAGTGGTCCCCAACCTTTTTAGGTTGTCGGGCGCCAGGGGGCGTGGCCGTTTGCCCGCCAGGCGCCAGGGGGCGGGGACCGGGGAGCAAAATGTTTTTTAAATACATTAGAAGCAGGAAGCCTGCTAAAAAAAACCAGTGGGTCCCCTAGATCAGTGGTCCCCAACCTTTTTAGGTTGTCGGGCGCCAGGGGGCGTGGCCGTTTGCCCGCCAGGCGCCAGGGGGCGGGGACCGGGGTGAACCTAACCTCCATGAATTTATCCAGTTTCTCTTTAAACTCTGTTATAGTCCTAGCCTTCACAGCCTCCTCTGGCAAGGAGTTCCACAGGTTGACTACACGCTGTGTGAAGAAGAACTTTCTTTTATTAGTTTTAAACCTGCTACTCATTAAATAATAATAATACCAGATTCAAAGTAGCCATTTGAGCATTAAAATCCACAATGCAAATGCCACTCTCTCACAGAGACCCAAGTCTAGGTCTGCATTAGGCTTCTGACCAGGCCAGGTTACTTTTTTAGGATGGGGAGACAGCTGGATTTGGTCCCTGCTAGAAGCAGCCAATGCTTTTTACTTGATGGACCCTGACTGGCCTCCCCTGTGCACAACCCTTCTAGGCATCACAGAGCCAAATCTTGCTGGCTCTGCTTGCAGCTGATCACGGGAAGGTTTTCTAGGCAGCCCGTAGAAATCAGAACTTGCTGCTCTTCCCTTCTAAGAGGGCATTTCTGAGGATGGAGAATGTCACAGTGGCAGGGCCTCCAGCAGGGGGCAGCAAATGCTTGGCGTACATCGTGGTACGTCGTGTCCTGGAGTACAATCCACCGCTTCCAATGTTGGGTTGCCCTGTGATGTATTTTGAGCATGCCCCGAAGTCTTAGGGGCAAGAGGAGGATGCGAAGCGTTTCCAACTTTCTATTTTTCATTTCAAAGCACGCTGCTTTCAAGCTCACAAGACGGGAAGGAAGAGGAAAAGTGAGACTGGTTCCTGAGATATGGCTGTGAGCATCACCCCAGACCTTGATCATGCAGAGAGAGGAAGAGGCGGAGGTGGCCAGTGGAGAATTGCAAAGGGACAATCCTCCAGCATATGGGAAGCTGTTGTTGACAAGGCACTTGCAGACGGAGGTAAGCCGGCATGGAAATCCTTGCTGTCCACAGAAACCAAGAAAGGATCCCTACCGGTGTGAATACACTGCACACTTATTTCAGGATAAGCTATTCCGGAAGAAGTACTCCAAAATAGCTTATTTCGAAATAGCGCGTCTACACTACAGGGAAGCCTCAAAATTAGTCCGAGGCAGGCTCCCCTATTGTGGACACGCCACCTCGATTTAGAGCCCCAGGAAGCACTGGGGAGTAATGACTTTGAATGGGCCTGGGGAAGAGCGATTTCGAAATCGCAGCAGACCCCACGACCGCTATTTCGAAATAGCAGTTTTGGAAGAGGCATTATTCCTCATGGAACGAGGTTTACAGAAGTGGGAATAAGCCGTCCGTTATTTGGAGTTTATTTCAAAATAACAGAATTGCTGTGTAGACGCTCGCAGTGGTATTTCGGAATAATGTCCGTTATTCTGAAATAATACTGCTGTATAGACGCACCCTACCTGTGCAACCCACCGGACTGAGGGGCTACTTTGTGGGGAAAAGAATCTCAAGAGATCATCTGATTCATCTTTCTGCACAGAGGCATAAACCAAACGGTCCCACACAGCTGTTTGTAGAACCTGCTCTTTAAAAAAATATGCCAAGGATGCAACATCTACTTATTCCAAGAGCAATCAGCATCAACCATGTCACGTTGCTACCACTAAGCAATCCTATGGCACCTGCTCTGATGAAGTCAACGAAGCTAGATAGATTCATGGACGCTAGGTCCGTCAATGGCTATTTGCCAGGATGGGTAGGAATGGTGTCTCTAGCCTCAGCTTGTCTGGAGGTGGGTGACAAGGGAGGGATCACATGGGGATTACCTATGCTATTGGCCTCTGTCGGCAGGCTGGATGGACTTTTGGTGTGACCCAGTATGGCCGTTCTTATGTTCTTAATACACCCTGCAGCAATCTACTGGTCAATTTAAAGTTGCTCAGTGTTCATTACATATGTCTCCTCTTGGTATTCCATGTGCAGTGTGAGCTTCAGCTCACCTCTCTGGCACCCTCTTCTACTTGCATCAGCATCTTTGGGTCGTTTTATTTAATGAGGGAAGCGTTTGTTTTTTCTGCAGTGCAAGGAACAGATTTAGCTCTAATTCCGGAGCTGCTGTTTTAAGGGATACGCAGGGAGGAGATTTTGAATAATGGGAGGAGCCTCCCTGGTCATGACTCGAGCTGGCTAATGTTTTTCAAACACATTTTTTTTTTTAGGACAAAAAATGCAGCTTCGGTGACACTAAAATGTTTTGCACGTCCCCGTTGGTTTTGCTGAATAACTGGTTAAAATAGCGAGGGGAAAAAAAGAAATATTTAGTTACATTTTCAGAATAAATCACATAAGAACATACGAACGGCCATGCTGGGTCAGACCAAAGGTCCATCTAGGCCAGTAGCCTGTCTGCCGACAGCGGCCAACACCAGGTGCCCCAGAGGGAGTGAACAGAACAGGGAATCATCAAGAGATCCATTAGGGGATTAGGGGTTTGGAGCAGGTCCCATATGAGGAGAGGTTAAAGCGACTGGGACTTTTCAGTTTAGAAAAGAGGAGACTGAGGGGGGATATGATAGAGGTATATAAAATCATGAGTGGCGTGGACAGGGTGAATAAAGAAAAGTTATTGATTAGTTCCCATAATAGAAGAACTAAGGACACCAAATAAAGTTAATGGGTAGCAGGTTTAAAATGAATAAGAGAATGTTGTTCTTCACACAGCGCGTAGTCAACCTGTGGAACTTCTTGCCAGAGGAGGCTGTGAAGGCTAGGACTATAACAGAGTTTAAAGAGAAGCTAGATAATTTCATGGAGGTTAGGTCCATAAAAGGTTATTAGCCAGGGGATAGAAATGGTGTCCCCGGGCCTCTGTCTGTCAGAGGCTGGAGAAGGATGGCAGGAGACAAATCACTTGATCATTGCCTTCGGTCCACTCCCTCTGGGGCACCTAGTGCTGGCCACTGTTGGCAGACAGGCAATTGGGCTAGATGGACCTTTGGTCTGATCCAGTATGGCAATTCTTATGTTCTTATAGTTTATACAAACTGTATCAACTACGCGAGTAATCAGTTACCCTATTTCTTTACATCCTTAGTAGAGGTAAGATGGGAAGGCTCAGGAGCTCTACACCAAATATACTGAGGCTTGCAGTATACCCACTCCCCCTTTCCTACCCATCTCTATTAACCTGTTCAGAAGCATTGCTGAAGTTAGTCCTATCAATGTCCAAAGTACTTTCTGGTACATGCAGCAGAATCCCAGAAACTCTTTGTAAGGCCTGGGAAAGAGCAAGTTGGTAAACTACCAGAGCAATGTGTACATAGTATCATCAGGCTAGTAATGAGACTGGAGGTTCATCACCAAAATCAATCTGAATTCCTACATAATAAACTGAGGATAATTTTTGTATTTTTAGTTACCATAATTTCAGGTTTTAACTTCAATAACAGTTCCAATATTTGCAGGCACAAACAAGTTTGTATCCTTTTTAATTTTATATTTTCAAACATTCTGACACATCTGTGGTCTTAAATAGTTGAAATTAGTGTTGTTGTTTTTTCTGCATCTCTGTCTACTTGTGTATACAAACACAAATATCCATATTGCCTTAGTTAGTCTTTGTTACTATTACATCCACATCAATGGAGTGTGTTGTACCTGTGGTATCAGTATTCTTAAAATCGCAAGAAAGCTGGTAAGATCTCTTTATTAAAAACAGTACTGTTGATCTGGCTTTATAGTAACATTTGTTCCCTTATAATTGCTCTAAAATGCACAACATGCATTCTCCTTATACCCTTCTTTGCTATTTGGGCATGTATAACTATTAATGTTCATAGCATCAAATGTGTTCCTCCCCAACAACCAACACTATTTTAAATTTGATAAATGTTCTGATGGAACTAACAAAGTATATTCTAAGTAGCATTATCTTAACTGCAAAATGTTACTATTAGAAATTTCTTTAAAGTAACTATTTTAGCAAAGTAACAACATATTACTGTTATAATGCATTTGGTATACTAAAGTTTGTTGATAAAGAAATGTATCACTTGCTGTTACCTTCTGCATAGGCAGCCACAGAAGAGGTGGAGACTAAAAGATTGGAAACAATGTCACACAATAAACCTGGAAATATTATTGAAACAAATAATGAAAGTAATTTGGAAACAGAACAAAGGTTTGTAACTGAGTACAAGTAACCATATAAGAATTTCAGTGGTATTTGACTCTAGATTTTTAATGCTATAGGGTGGAGCCTTGCAGTGGCATTGGGATTCCATGGGTCCTGCAGGATCAACTGCCATCATAGTGGGAGTGGGTATAATGATTGAATGGGCAAAAAAAACACTGCTGCAGTTTGCAGGAAACTGCTATTTTTTTAAGGAATAAAAATAGACATTTTAATTCTTTAAGTGAGAGATGGAAAGATTTTGTCTTATAACAGGAATTAAAGTATTTTTACATTGTTTAAGCAAGATTTGATTTAGTCTGTTAGTGGTAAAAATTGACTGAATTCTAGTTATACATATACGCGCGCGCACACACACACACACGCGCACACACAAGGTTAACCAATTTTTGTTTAAGTTGCATAGAGGAATCTCTTGAAGCTAAGATTTTTGCAGAACACCTGGTTCTAATTAAATGTGGGTTTTTAATAGAAGATGTTAGTGTTTAACATGAACTTGGTAAATATTTGTTGAAGGTTCATGTCTTAATTTTAATATTGACAGAGGACCAAATCTTGTGACGGTTAAAAACATTGACATCTATTTAATTTTTCTTTATGATCAAGGGTATTTTAGTTCTGTCCTTCAAATTGAGGGTATACTATATATCTGAAAAGGAAAGAGCAGGGGGACAAGGTTTATATGCCCTGGTATGCTTCTGCCAAAATGGAGAACAGGAACTCATCCCTAGCTCACTCACTGTAGTAAATTAGGTCATTTATTCACTAGTTGTGGTCATAGTATAGAAGTAGTTAGGTCTCTTCCAAACTAGTAACCTAAAAATGATTTGCAGTAGAGCAGACAACTTAACTTCTTAAAGCTTCTCTTTCAAAGTACTGACATGCTTTTAATGACGAGGGATGTTGCTAAAGTTTGATTGGATTTGTCAGTTTAGAGGCTGTTCACCTTTTCATTCTTAAAGAATTGCTACTATGGCTTTTGAAATCCTAGATTTGTTATAAGTTGTTTCTCACAGAGAAAGGTGATGAGCTAGATGATTTTCATTGTGTATGTAGCCCTCACTACTACCGTTCTAAGTGTGCTTAGTGCTTAATTTTTTTTCTTGAGGCAGATAAACTGGATCCAGATTACAACTGCTCTTCACTAGTAGTATAATGAATGTACTTTACATTACTCTTGAAGAAGAGTGATAGAACAGCAAAGTGCAACCTGGGGTCGCAGCTGTCCTCCGAGGGGGGTCAGAGCACTTTGATCTGGGCCGGTATAGTTCCCAGCTTGGCACATACATGCAGCGGGATTGGGGAGGACTGGCAGGAGCGAAGTGGCAATTAAAGGGGCTTTTTTTTTCTCAATCAAAATTTTTCCAGATACCTTTATTTGGGTCCGGGGGGTCACGAATGCAAAAAGGTTGAGAACCACTGTGATAAAATATGGGCCAGGGATGATTTAATTGAGGAATACCTATAGAAACTACTTATAGGCTACAAAGAGATTAGAATTAAAGTTTGAAAATATGGGTATACTCCTTTTTGAAGGATTTCTTTATAATATATATTTAAGCATGTTTTGTATTTTTGGTTTTGAGAGGGAGGGGAAATTATCACTACAGGCAGTCCCCGAGTTACGCGGATCTGACTTGTCAGATCCACAGTTACGAACGGGGTTTTTCTCGCCCTGGAGGACGCGGGCGGTGGGACCGCGACGCATCTGGGCATCCCGCCGCTCCCATCCTCCAGGGCGAGAAAAGCTGCTCCACGTCTCCCTGGTCTGCTGGGGGGCTTCCCCCCAAGCAGACCAGGGAGACGTGGAGCAGCTTTTCTCGCCCTGGAGGACGCGGGCGGTGGGACCGCGACGCATCTGGGCATCCCGCCGCTCCCATCCTCCAGGGCGAGAAAAGCTGCTCCACGTCTCCCTGGTCTGCTGGGGGGCTTCCCCCCAAGCAGACCAGGGAGACGTGGAGCAGCTTTTCTCGCCCTGGAGGACGCGGGCGGTGGGACCGCGACGCATCTGGGCATCCCGCCGCTCCCATCCTCCAGGGCGAGAAAAGCTGCTCCACGTCTCCCTGGTCTGCTGGGGGGCTTCCCCCCAAGCAGACCAGGGAGACGTGGAGCAGCTTTTCTCGCCCTGGAGGACGCGGGCGGTGGGACCGCGACGCATCTGGGCATCCCGCCGCTCCCATCCTCCAGGGCGAGAAAAGCTGCTCCACGTCTCCCTGGTCTGCTGGGGGGCTTCCCCCCAAGCAGACCAGGGAGACGTGGAGCAGCTTTTCTCGCCCTGGAGGACGCGGGCGGTGGGACCGCGACGCATCTGGGCATCCCGCCGCTCCCATCCTCCAGGGCGAGAAAAGCTGCTCCACGTCTCCCTGGTCTGCTGGGGGGCTTCCCCCCAAGCAGACCAGGGAGACGTGGAGCAGCTTTTCTCGCCCTGGAGGACGCGGGCGGTGGGACCGCGACGCATCTGGGCATCCCGCCGCTCCCATCCTCCAGGGCGAGAAAAACCCCGTTCGTAACTGTGGATCTGACAAGTCAGATCCGCGTAACTCGGGGACTGCCTGTATTTAAAGATTGTCTAACAACGGGTCTATATAGAGGTAATGGTTCTACATAGCTAACTTATGTGTACTGTGTAAGAAGCTTTATTAAAGAGGTAACGGTCACTAGGCTAGATGGAAGGGGTACAGTGTTGGAGATGACTTTTGGCTTTTAAACATTTGTATCTTTTTGTTTTAAGTAATCTAGAAAATCAGAGAAATATTGTGAATGAATGCTCAGAGAATGGGAGAGAACATTTAAACAGGTAATGAAAAACTTCTGTTTGACACTAGAGCTAGGTGATAGTTTTATGGTGAATAGCAAATTTGTAAAAGTGAAGTTTTAGGGCAACCACAACTATTTTATAGTTCAACTCAAGTTCAATAGTCATGGCTGAATCAATTTGTTACCCCACTTTTTAAATGCTTGTTCTTTGGGAGATGGCACATGTCAATTCCATTGTATGTTCACACCTAATGCACAAATGTTAGAGTTATGGTCTCCTCCCTGCCCCCAATTGCCCAGCAGTACTCATCAAAGTAACTTAAGGGCCCTCTGTTGCCACATGCCATTGTGTGCTGCTGATAAAGAGGACAGAGCTACCTTCTATCTCCTCAGTTTCTTCATACTGCCAATGGTGGTTGTCCAGAATGTACCTCTAAATAGTAGAAAACCTCTACTAGAATCATTTTCCTGCCCAACCGGAAGTGCTTCTCCCTTCAGGCTCATGAGCAAGGTGTCTACTCACAAAAACACCCCTGAAAGCTATGCTGTACTAACTTTCAGAAATAAAATAGAATTTGACCTTTAGTTCAGTAAAGCCCCATTTGGTTGCTATCTCAGCTCTTTGTATACAGGAAGATAACTGTACCTTGATTTCTAAAGTGTGGCCAGATGATACTGTCAAATCCAGGACCCTATCCCTCCTGGAGACCTTAGAGTAGTCAGGGCTAATTTAATGGGACGCCACTTGGAAACTTTTCATGACTTACTCATTCCTTTACCTTGCCATGAAGATAATATTCCTAGTGAGGATCACCTTAGCCAAATGACCTGAGCGCTCTAGTATCAGAACCACCATAGCTCTTAAAAGGATAAGATTTCTCTGTCCACACCCAAAGGTCCTTACAAAAGCAGTCTCTAGTTTTCATGTTAACCAACATATCTGCCCACATTTTTTCCAAAACCACCTCACCATAAGCACTTTAATTAAATTAATAATGGAGATTGCCTATCTTCTAGAACTGGAAGGGACCTTGAAAGGTCATCGAGTCCAGTCCCCTGCCTTCTCAGCAAGACCAAGTACCATCCCTGACAATTTTTGCCCCAAATCCCTAAATGGCCTCCACAAGGATTGAACTCCCAACCCTGGGTTTAGCAGGCCAATACTCAAACCACTGAGCTATCCCTCCCCCCCAGATTGATTTTAAGTTGCCTGCAATGGAATTGACACATGCAGGCATCCAAAGCAGAAGAAATAGTTATTTACCTTTTCTTAACTTTTGTTCTTTGAGATGTGGCGCATATGTCTATTCTGCTACCTGCCTGACACGGCCTTCCCCTCTCTGTTGGAGTCAAATGGGTACAAAGTAATAGTCAGGCACAGGGTAGTGCTGCCTCCTTATACCGGTGCACAGTGGCACATGGCAACAGAAAGCATTTGAGTGGCCCCAAAGGGTACTACTGGGGGGAATCTTTCGTCTTTGAAAGAGGGCTCATGCATCCCATTAGCAGAATATGTACGTGCAACACCCCTTAAAGAACAGAAGTTATGGAAAGGTAGGCAACTAGAACATTTCAAAAGAAATAAATATAAACTAGCAGTTTTGAAATGGCACTTCAGATTGTTTTGTTTTGTGAAGGAAAAACTAAAATTCAGTTGCAGTTGAAAGATTTTTTTTTTTTTCAGTTCAACTATATTGAATAATCAGTTTGTATAGCTCTGTCACACATATTCCTGAATATTTCAGCAGGTCTAGTTATAACTTTATGCATCTTGCAGGTCAAGATATCAGCTTCATTCCTTAGCACAGCACACCCTCTGGAGGCTAGAAGAAGTGCCTTCTGATGGGATGATAAACCACAGAAAAACCAGTGCTCTTCAAAGTGAGTATGCTGTGACTTTCATTAAGGTTCGTGATACGCAGAATGCAGATAATTTCTCTGATGAGAATATTATCTCTATACTCTCAGGCTTTCAAAATATTACTACTTTGACTGTTTTTCTCACTTAAAATTTGCAATTAACTTGTTCTTCAGATGCTCTACCACTTCTGATCTGCCTTTAGGATGGGAAAACAACAACCACAATTCCTCAAAATTCTGCCTGATCTCAGATTTGGGGGCCAAATTCTAAAATTGTAACATGGTTTGTGGGCACCAACCAAACAAAAAATCTAGGACACAATTGCTCCCTTCAGTATTTCACTGGAGAGTGTAGTATTTTATTTATAGGAAAGCTATTAGTAGTTCTTGTCCTGAATCTCTCATTAGGATACCTCTTAGAAGAAATTCCTCATTCTTTGAGTGCTTGCTTATGTCCATTCCACTTAGGTATGCGTGGGCCACATGCATGAGTTCTGGAAGCTTTTTACCCTTAGCAGTGCCCGTTGGGCTAGCCAGGAAGTCCCCGGGAGTGGCACTGGCATATTGGCGCACGTATCCCCCTGCAGGCCCTCCACCCCCTCAGTACCTTCTTATGGCCCATGATGGTTGCTGGAACGCTTGGCTTGCTTTATGCAAGTGCACCCCCTTAGTATCTTTTATCTTCTGTAAATAGTTCTTCAAATAGTTGAGTCTTGTTCTAGTTAGTTAGTAGGTAGTTTCTCCCCTTTCCCCCTTCAAAGGGGGGACTGCTGAGGCCCCAAGGCTGTGCACGGTGTCTGAAGCCTATGCCTAGCGGAGACCTGCACAAGGAGTGTTTAAAGTGCCTTGGTGAAGGTCATTAGACAGACTCCTGCAGGATCTGCAAAACCTTTTAAAGCAAGGACCAAATGAAAGCGTGATTCCAGGCTCAAGTTGGCACTTCAGCTTGTGGCACCAGAGTTGGTGCTGTCCGTGAGGAGTGCCCCAGGTTGGTGCAGGGTATAGGATCCACGTTGAGACACTGCAGCAGCAGCAGACCATCAGTCGGCACCCCAGCACTGTTCTCATTCCCTGGCAGAGTGCTCTCAAGAAGGCACAAAAAGGAAGGTTGTCTTCAAAATGGGACCGGGGGGACACTTGGAGGCTTTATCCCTGCCCAGGCGTGAGGAGGCTCCCATGCACCATAGGTGCAGGTTGAGCCTTGCACGGGCGGGTAACCCTGAGGTCCAGGACTTGTCTGTGGAAGAGGTCCCACAGCCATCGACCCCGGACACATTGTTGCAGCCTGGGAGTTGACTGAACTCGCCTCCTCCCCTGGAACTGCACCACACGGTGCAGAGCCATATGAAGGATGGGAGCAACAGGGGGTTAGAATGGTAATGGCACCGCAAAGAGCCACTTTCCTCTTAATATGGGAATCTGGACCAGCAATGCCTATAGCAGCCGGGTCCAGCACGGAACGGAACCCTCCCAGCACCAGTGGCAGCTTCAGCCCTGGAGCTTAAAGTTATGCCACAACTGCACCGAGGGAAACTGGTGGCCTTAGCACACCACAGCCAGCACTGGGAGCAGTCAGCATCAGTAGCACTACCGCGGTCCACGTCAGAGTACTTCCCTGAATCAGATGCGGAGTCAGTGACTTCAGGGGCCTCATTGCATGGATCATTGAGGTCAGGTCAGTCGAGGTCTCCGCACTAGTCCCGGTCTCGGCACCAATCCTGATCCCAGCATCAATCCTGATTGAGGTGCCACTCGAGGACGGCCAGTGTACTGCCATCACAGACTTGGCCTCCATAATGGCAGCAGCTAGCCTAGGGGCCTTTTTGAACCCCCCAGGCATATCATCAGGGACAGGAGCCTTCGAGGTCAGGGTCAGCCTTGGCCTCGATGTACTCAGGGCGCAGGGCTATGCTTTTGGCTACCCTGTTCACATGGGCTCCAACGTCAGTCTAGGGCCAGTCCCTCAGGATTAGCAGGGGACTGAGATCAGCTGGCTCGGCAGCCAGCCCTGGTGAACCCTATCCAGCTGCAGCCTCCTACCCTCTCTTCCCCTCCCCCCCAGTCTCACCATGGTTGCCAGTGTTGCCGAGGGACTCCTTGTCCTCTTCCCCCTCAATGAGGCTCTGGCAGACCTGTCCCCAGCTATGTTTGCCATGGACATGTGCACCCATCAGGACCTCCTCGGGAGGTTGGCCCAAAACATAGGGATGCAGGCTGAGGAGGTTGTGGAGGCATCTGATCCCATGGTGGACATCCTGACAGCAGATGCTCCTGCTAGGATTGCACTTCCCCTTAATAAGACGGCCAAAATTACGAAAAACCTCTAACAGACACCGGCGTCCATTTCTCTGGTGCAGAAAGGGGTGGCGAAGAGGTATTTTGTGCTGCAGTCTGGTTATGAACATATGTTTTCCCACCCACCCCGTGGCTTGGTGGTCGTCCAGGATGCTTGTCAAAGGGTAAGACACGGACAGCCTGGTCCCACTCCTAAGAGTCAGGAGCCCAAAAAGCTTGACCTCTTGGGATGAAAGGCGTATGTGACAGCAGGGCTGCGGCCTATAACTTCTGGTTGGCGGTAAATAAGTTCAGGTCCCAGCTCCCTAGGTAGTCATAGCAAGAGCTTGGGGCTTTGACAGAGGAGGGCAAAGTGGTATCCCGCACTGCCCTTCAGGTTGTGATGAATGCGGCAGACTCTACGGCATGCTCAATAGCCACTGGCATAGTCACATGGAGGAACTTGTGGCTTAAGGTCTTGGGCATCCCACCTAAAATCCAGACTACACTGCAAGACCTGCCCTTTGAAGGCTCTTCTCAGACCAGACTGATAGTAAACTGCACAGACTGAAGGACGCGAAGGTGACACTGAAGTCTCTGGGCATCCATGCCCCTGGTCTGCAGCGCTGACCACTGAATCCTAGGTCACGGAGGCCGTACCAGCAAGGCCCCCAGACAGGATAATAGGTGGAGAAAAAGGGGAAATGGTGGTAGAAGCACCTGGAGCAATTGGCCTCCGAGCAATGGGTCCTTGAGACAAAGTATCCCCTTGCTACCGTCTCCTTCCTCTCTTCCCCACCTTCCCACCCCCCTTCACTGTCCCTCTTCAGGGACCCCTCTCACGACCACCTTCTTCATCAAGAGGTCTCTTCGCTCCTGTCATTGGGGGCAGTAGGAGAGGTTCCCCTTGCATTTTGTGGAAAGGGGTTCTAGTCCCGATATTTCATATTTCCAAAATCCAAAGGCGGTCTTCACCCCATCCTAGATCTCGGAGGTCTCAATGTCTTTGTAAGAAAGTCAAGGTTCAGGATGGTGATGCTATCCTCCATCATTCCCTCACTTCATCTAGGGGACTGGTATGCTGCCCTCAATTTGAGGGACATGTACTTCTACATTTCAGTTGTCCCTCACTGCAGGAAATTCCTATGTTTCTTGGTGGGTGGGGACCATTATCCGTTTGTGGTTCTGCCATTTGGCTTTTCCACTGCCCCCAGAGTATTCACCAAATGTATGGTAGTGGTAGCTGCCTTCCTAAGAAAGAGGGGGCTTCACATTTTCACCTACCTGGATAACTGGCTCATCAGAGACTGGTCCAGGGATCAGGTGCTATCCCACATTGTGTTGGCCTGGGAAACCTTCTCCTAGTTGGGACTCATGTTGAACAAGGAAAAATCCCTTGTCCCTACTCAAATAATAGAGCAACTCTACCGAGCTCCAGGTTTGCGGACATGAAGGACATTATTTGACAGCTCCGGGCCACATCTATGATTACTGCGAGGCATTGTTGGAGGCTGTTGGGCCATGTGGTAGTGTGCACTTACGTGGTGCGAAATGTCAGACAGCACCTCTGACCTTTGCAGGCCTGGCTGGCAGGAATCTACAGGCTGGCTCATGACCACATTGATACTGTGGTGACTATCCCACCGGAGATCCTTTTCACACTGGACTGGTGGTTGAGGGAGAGTGAGATGTGCTGTGGGGTCCCCTTTGGCCAGCCCCCTCCCTCGATGCAGTTGGTAACGGGCGCTTCCAATACCAGGTACAAGGGCCCAACGTAGCAGACTTACAGATGGAATGTATGTTGTTTCGAGTGGAGAGGTTGTTGCACATCAATGTCGGGGAACTGAGAGTGGTGCATTTGTCATGCCAGATGTTCCTACCTCAGTTGAGGAGTAATTCTGTCAGTTTTAACAGACAATACCTCAGTGATGTTTTATATCAATTGACAGGGTGGTGCTTGATCCTCTCTTCTTTGTCAGGAGGCCCTAGCCTTCTGGGACCTCTTCATCGTGCAAGGGGATTCACCTTCAGGCCACCTACCTCCCAGGGGCCCACAACACACTGGTAGACCACCTCAGCAGGGCATTGTCGGCCCACGAATGGTCTCTCGAGGAAGTGGTGCACCTTCTTTTCTGCAGGTGGAGGACTCCCCTCCTCAACCTTTCCCCTACTCAACCCATTTCTTCTCATGCTAAGGCCAGGTCCCTGGATCGGATGAGGATGCCCTGGTGATGCAGTGGCCTCAGTGTCTCCTGTACTCCTCCCCTCCCCCCCTTTTCTCCTTGTGCATGAGGGGCTCCTGGGGGCATGAAGGTACGGAGGCATCACCAATCCTGGTGGCCCTGGCCTGACCATATCACCCTGGTTTTGCTGTTGGTGGAAGACCCCATTGCCCTCCTGCTTGTACCACACCTCTTGACCCAGGAGCTGGATCAGGGTTGTCTGTGCCGCCTAAATCTACAGTCCCTCCACCTCACTGCTTGGAAGATCCATGGTTAAGTGTGGGGGGGGGTTCCTCTCCTCAGATCTGGTCAGGCGGGTACTGATGGAGAGTACCTCCACCAGGATGACATATCAGCCTAAATGGAGGAGGATCTCTAGTTGAGTCATTCAGAAGGAGGGAATCCCTTTCGAGCCCCCATCCGTCTGGTCTTCGACTACCTCCTTGACCTCAGGCAATGGAGGCTGTCTACCGCCTCAGTGAGGGTACAGTTGGCAGCCATTGCGGTGTTTCACCAGGAGGAAGTGGGAGCTCGGTGTTCACACATGCAATAGTCAAGCACTCTCTGAGGGACCTAGGTGTGAAAACAGGCTCTTTTCTGGCCAGGCCTCGTGCACATAGCCTTCCTAGCCCAAGTTTACCTTCCCCTCAAACCAAAAATCCTGCACTATGTGACTTAAAATCAGTAAAACCAGGAGTAAGACACCAGGCAGGTAAGGGTCATACAAAGTTTGCGCCACTCAAGGGCCATCTCACCCCCTCCCCTTCCCCCTCAGCCTGTCACTAGGAGACTGAATCTGTCAAGCCTATCACAACTAGACGTGGGAAAGCTTTTGCTCTCTATAAAACAGCTACCCCTCCTGCATGCAGTTGAGGTTTCCCGAAAACTTGGAAGGCAGAACACGAGCCAGGTTCTGAGGGCTGATCACCCGAGGACCCCCTCCCGCTCACCGAATCTACCGAATCTTTTGCAGAGCGTGACGAATAACGAATATGCTGTTGTCTCTGTTGTGTCTTTTATGTCTGATAATTGTGAGTATTGCTGTGTAAAGTTAGTTAAAGGTTTGATAAATAATAGTGTTAAGAGTAAGTTAGTTAGAAATTGTTAAATAGTACAGTTAAGAGTTAACATCTATTTAACTCTTATGAGCTTATGAGTAAAATTAATGTAAATATAACTGATAAAAATCCCTGGGCTGTTATTGATAATTACTTAGACTTAGAGAAACCCCAGGGCATTTTCCTCTATTGTATTGCAGTTTGTTTGTTGTTACTGTTAATAATTATCTGGCGCCCACGCATGTAAAACGTTGATAAATAAAAAGTTATAGTTAAAAGCACTTTAATAAAAGTTAAAAATATTCAATACAAGGCTGCCTGTTTCTGCACCTCTCTGGGGCTGGCCACATTCTCGAACCTTCCATTTTACTTTCCACACTAGGTAGGCTCTGTCCCCAATGTAGGCAACCCGTTCCACAGTGGGACTTGAATCTAGTGCTCCGGGGACTGATGCAGCCCCCATTTGAGCCATTAGCTATGTGCTGTCACACTCATCTTTCATGGAAAATGGCCTTTCTCATGGCTATCACCTCAGCTGTTGAGGGTATCTGAGTTGAGGGCCCTTTCTTTGGAGCCACCGTACACTGTGTTCTCTAAGGACAAGGTGACGTTGAGTCCACACCCTGCATTTCTACCTAAAGTGGTATCCCTGTTTCACATGTCCTAGGAGATTTTCCTGCCAGTCTTCTACCCTAAGCCACATGCAAACGAGAGAGCAGGCGTGTCACACATTAGATATTAGAAAGGCTCTCGCCTTATATTTAGAGAGGTCATAGCAGTTTCGTAGGTCGATGCAGCTCTTTGTCTCTATAGCAGGGAGAATGAAGGGCCTCCCTGTGTTAGCTCAGTGCCTGTCCTCATGGATTATGGCATGCATTAAGGCATGGTATGACCTAAGAGGGAAGTCGACCCATTCTATTATGGCTGATTCTACCAGTGCTCAGGCATCCTCAACTGCATTCCTAGTGCAAGTGCCGATCAAAGACATCTGTAGAGTGGCTACATGGTCATCGATCCATACTTTTACTAACCATTATGCAATTACATAGCAGGCTAGACAGGATGTGGCTGTTGGCAGAGCAGTGTTGCAGTCTGTTTTCTCTTAGGTTCCAACCCTGCCTACATAGGAATAGCTTAGGAATCACCTAAGTGGAATTGGATATAAGCAAGCTCTCGAAGAAAAAACAGTTACTTACCTTGTAACTGTTGTTCTTCGACATGTATTGCTTATGTCCATTCCAATCACACCCACCTCCCCTTTGTTGGAACGTGTGACAAGAAGGAACTCGGTGAGGTGGAGGGTTAGCAGGGGTAGATATGCACCTATATGCCGGCGCCACTACAGGGGGCTCCCCGGTTGGCCCAACAGATACTGCGAAGGGCAAAAACATTCTGGAACTTGTGCAGGCACACAAGTGGAATGGACATAAGCAACACATCTTGAACAACTGTTATGAGGTAAGTAATTTTTTTTTTAAGTGGTGGAACAAGAAGAAACAGGTCAATGATTAATTTTTTAAGAAACAGGTGACACAGCTGCAGAAATTTAGGATGTTTAAATAAGCTGCAATGGCAAAGGTGCATGGGCAATAGTTACAAGGTTGATTTTGTACTGTTTTAGTTGTAGTAATAGAGAACTGTGTGATGTGGTTTAAAATTATTGGTTTAACAATTGTTTAAAATACAAAGTACAAACTCTTGCAGGAATTTAGTGGCCATTTTGAGTACTCTGACAGACTATCATACTCTCCACTGTGTTTATCCTGAATAGGTCCAAAGTACATACAAAAGGCTAAAATAAATCAAGTAGAAATATTCTCTCTACTCACTCTGTTCTTGCTTCTCACAGGTGTAAATATTATAGTGGAGAATTGGTGCAGAATGATGATATTTATTGATCTTTGTGTTCTCAACTGATTAATCTAGGTCTCAATGGTTTGCAGAACACTGAAAATGGTAGAAGATTTCTGTCTCGTAGACAAACTGGCCGGAAGAAGCAGGTGTGTATTGATTTTATACTTAAATGGACCTAAAATTAGTCTGTAAAATGTGTTCGGAATTATATGCAATCAGAGGAAATAAAATGTAGTGTATTTCCAAACTGAGTTACTGTGCAGCATGTTTCTATGTAACGTTTGTGTCCTGTATCTCTTTCAAACATACGCACATACAGAAAAATAAGTCACAAATACATTTTTTTAAATTAACTAGGCAATACCTAATTCATATGATCTAGATCAAGCCTGGGCAAAATATGGCCCGTGGGCTAGATCTGGCCTGCCATACCAGGAGGCAGTGGGGAGCCCCAGGCAGGCTCCCCTGTTGCCTTGCCCCACGTTCATGTGGCTCAGAAACATGGTTGCGGCATGGTTTTTCTTTTAAAAACTCTTGAGCCCCGGAGGGAAGGGGGAAGACTTCAGATGCTGCTCCCACCTCCAGCACAATCCCATTGGACGGTTTCTGGCCAGAAATTGGCTAATGGGAGCTGTCTGTTTGAATAACAGGCATCTATGAAGCATCATGCTTCCTCCCCTCCAGGGCTCATAGCTATTCACACAGCACATGGCTGCAGCCTATGTGGGGGTGGGGCAGGCTCCCTGCCTGCCTGAGAAACTGCTGGGTTGCTGACTGGTAAGTCTCCTGATCAGATCCTGTCTCTGGCACTGCAGATCACTCCCTTCCCCACTCCTGAGCCCCAATCCCCTGCCTTGGATCACAGTCCCCTCCTGCCCTAGCTCACAACCCAAGCCCCTGCATCCTAATCCCCTGCACCCCTTCCTGTACCCCAATTTCCTGCCCTAGGTTACTAATCCAATCCCCTGCACCCCGGTCCAGTGCCTCAGGTCACAACTGCCTCTTTCACCCAGACTCCCTCCCAGACTCTACATTCCCTCCAGTAGCCCAGTCCTTTACCCCAAGCTCCTTTCTGCACCCAACCTCCATCCCAGACCCTGCACTTCCTCCATTAATATCATGGAAGAGTGTGGTCCTCAACCACTTTCAAAATTCTTGGAGTGGGCCCCCCACCATCAAAAATTATTATCCACCCTGATAATAGTCTTCAAGATTAAAGCTCCCACCAGGAACTGCTGACAAGTGAGCAACAAGAGGGGTGGGTGTGTGTGTGTGTGTGTGTGTGTGTGTGTCTGTCTGTCTGTCTGTCTGTCTGTCTGTCTGTCTCTGTCTGCCAGCCTGTACGCGCACAAGCGCCTCCTCTTGAGGTGTTTTAGCAGGTTTTATGTCCCCCCCCACACTCCTTTGGGGTCTTGTATTTTACTTTAGATACATTTATTTATTGTGTTGGGGATTTTTAATTGTAAGCTGCCTCAAATCTTTTAGAGAGAGGCGGGATGAAAATATTGTAAATAAATAAATAATAATGATTGAGCATTCAGCATTAGATATTTTCAGATGGAAGGATGCCTGAACATCATTTGTCACAGGAACAGTGCTTAGATATCAAGCTAATGGGCATTATGGAATACCTAGATAAATGAGTGAATCTTCCTACTGTATCTAAATAGAAGGTAGAGTATCTCCAAATAACCTAAGTAGGTCAGATCAAAAGATGGTTTTAAGGTAATGTGACCGTCAAAAGAGCTCTTCTTTCAAAGACCAACAGCAGCCAGTGTACTACGACTCCTAAGCAATGGCTTCTGAAATGTGGGGAAAATGCTCCGTTATAAGGGTGAAAATACAAAAATGGGATGGAGTTTTCAAGGTAAGCCTATTGCAGTGGTCTGATAACATGCAACTTCCTATATCGCTGCATTTCATAAAGGTCTTACCCATGAAACAAATGCAGATACCTGTAGTCACTATTTTAAATGTTAGCTACATCAGACACAAACCAAAGTACCATGTAACTTTGGGAATTCTGGAAATGTGAGTTGAATATAGAGAAGTTATGAAAAGAGTATTTAAAGTGCATTTGACTTTGGGAACAAGATTCCTGTTCTGAAATAATACATCTAGTGTACAGTTTATTTTCTGAAATGAAGTCCTGATGACTTTTGCAAACCAAATGGAACCTCTCTAGTCCAGCACTCTCAGATCTGGCATGATCTTAGTCAGATGTCCACTTTTCATAGGTACAGCCAAGTTTCCTGCGGTACCATGAAGCTGGTTTATAGCCAGCAGTCCTGGCTCTTGGTGTTATGTGCTGTTATTTAGCTCTAATGTATCCTTAATTATTTCTCAGAGCCCAGTATGCAATGAAATGTCATTAGACAATATTGGCTTCCCGTGGTCCGGCAAATTCACTGGTCAGATCCTGAGGATGCCTGACTTAGAGAGGTTCAATCTGTAACGATAAAATATTCTGTTAAAGCTAGAACATAGGCTTCAGTTTTCAGTGTGGAAGGGCACTCTGAAGGGAGTCAACCAGATCGCCTAAGATCTTTGTAAATATTTTGTGGAAATCTCCAAACTGTGATTTACAACAGTTGATACAAGCTGTTTCCTCTCTTTACCTTGAGTTAATAAGGAAAATATTAACTTACTTTTTTGGCTCACATTTTTAAGGATAACTAGAGAAAACAACTTTCTTGTCAGTTTACATATGGATAAATATCCTTCTAGCTCCTTTATTTCTTCCTTCATTGAAAGCCTATATTGAAGTTCGAAGTACTGGTTGAATTTATAGGCACAGCCAATCCTCAGATTAGACTATCTGCTAATACGAAATCTATTGTTAAACCACCAAGATCCATACCCCTAAAGACTAATGAGAGCCTTTTCTCGTGTTTAAAACACTGAGTTGAAACAACACAATTTATTTTAAAGCTGTGCTTAACTGTGGCAAAAACATAGCAAATAATTGTGGGACTGACAATCAGCATTAATTTATCAAAACAAAAGGTTAGAGGAACAGTAGACAATAAATTTGCCTTAAAAGATTTAGTCCCTTCCTATAGAAACACAGCCCAAATGCTCAAAGCCAGTGCCCTCTTTCGTCTTTTTCACTGCTGATGAAATGGCAAAAACTGCCACTTAATGACATGAATAATACTGGCGCGTTGCCATATGATTTTTTTAAAAAAACCCTCTTATACTACAGCTCCTGCTTCGTTTTCACTCTCCACTAACACAGAAAAGCTGTATACGGTGTATTGTTAATATTTTGTTCTTTGCTATAGTATTTCAACATCAGTAGTTAACTTACAAACACCTTTCCCAGACTTATGCTGACTACAGGGGTGCTCAGGCATACCTTAGGAAGATTAGAAACTATGATAGTTAACCATGTTAACTGTGTCATAAAGTCCTCTCTATTAAAATACAGAAGCCCACCTTAGCATACAGAAATTATGGGGGAGCTCTCATGCATTTCAAAGCCATGGAGCCTGGGATCAGCGGGGGACGTAGTCCCTCGCTGACCCCGGGCTCCATGCTATGCTGCATGCCGCTAGGGGCATGATTCAAAAGGGAAGCTGTGGGGAACCTGGGGTCAGATGGGGCTTCTCAGCTGACCCAGGCAATGCCACGGGGGAGCACAGGATCAGCTGTGGAGTCCCCTGCTGATCCCGGTCTCCGTGGCTTTGAAATGCATGAGCTTTCTCTCCCCCCTCGGACTCTTGTTCATTTCAAAGAAGGTACCCCTGTGCAGCCCAGAGTCAGGGCTGTACGTCGAGTTCCGCATTTCCCTAGAAATGTACATAGACTAGTCAATGGAAATTCTATCAACTAGTCAATTAACTGCATTTTAATATCCTTAATTGATATGGATAAAAGTTGATAGGATGTGGAGAAAATTGTTAAATTCCTAAATTCTTATAAAAAAATCAAATTCTACACAACTGCTCTCATGGACCTATAGAATGCATCCTTTATTTTCTTGCTACTTCTGTGGGGTAGTCTTTTATCTGTGGGACTTCTCAACATCAGTATTACACAAAGTATTCCAAAAAGTTGAATTTGCTCATCCACATCATTGTGACTTTTATATAAGATTGTCTGCATGCCTGAAAGAATGCTGTGAATGTCACAGAAAGGATTGTTGACTTTTAGAATTCCCTTGTCCATGCAGTCCCTTTTTCAATGTTGGCTTTGTTTGCACTTGTTCCATAAATGGAATGAAATGCCAATGATTCAGAGCCTGTTTTCAGCTTTACATAGCAAATTTTTTTTTCAGATAAGCTACATATTTCATTCTGATGCAACACCATTGAAAGGTGAATCCTCTGTAATTTCTACTACCTCAGCAGTATCAATTAGGATTTAGGTTGCTAGTGGGGTCCATCTTATACCCCTTTTTGTGTGAGAAGTCCCTTCAGAGCCATGCATAACCCAAATTAAATCAGTGGGGCTTGCTGCTGGAGCAAGGGATCCAGAACTGGACTTTTTTGGAGCGTTTGGTGGGAAAGACTCCACTTAACTTGCAAGGCTGTGTAATACTTGTTTCCAAACAAGAGCACTTATATATAAACTGTTTAAGAAGAATTTGTAGTAGCATATTACAGATGATTTAACTCTTAGCTTTGCTTTTTGTAATTATTTGTCACCAACTTTTCAGTTGTGGGTCAGTGCAGGCTTGCTAATACCTTCCTCTGCTGTGGCCAGATTGACCATTTGGCTTAATAGATGGTAACTAACAGCATTAACCTGAAACAAATCTAGCCCTGAACAAATGTGAGCTATTGAGTCTGTTTGCCTTCATCCTATGTTTAGGAATAAACTTTGGAAAGGGACACTCTCAAACTGATATAGAATCTTGACATTACAGGCAGTCCCCGGGTTACGTACAAGATAGGGACTGTAGGTTTGTTCTTAAGTTGAATTTGTATGTAAGTTGGAACTGGCGTCAGCCACTGCTTAAACTGATCAGTTTCAACCGCGGCTGAATCTGGACGCCAGTTCTGACTTACATACAGATTCAACTTAAGAAACCCGGGCGTCCCCAAGTCAGCTGCTGCTGAAACTGATCAGCGGCTGATTGCAGGAAGCCTGGGGCAGAGCAACTCTGCCACGGGCTTCCTGTAGTCAGCCGCTGGTCAGTTTTAGCAGCGGCTGGAACTGGATGGCCGGTGC